CTTAATCCTCAATTGGTGATAGCCAGTCCTCAAATCGATATTAGAAAACACTGACGCCCCTTGTAACTGGTCAAACAGGTCATCAATCCTTGGTAGTGAGTACTTATTCTTAATGGTCACCTGATTTAGTTGTCTATAGTCAATGCACAACCTCAATGATCCATCCTTTTTCCTCACGATCAACACTGGCGCTCCCCATGGAGACACACTCGGTGAATAAAACCTTTATCCAATAACTCCTGCGTTTGGACCTTCAATTCCTTCAATTCCGACAGTGACATCCTATAGGGCACTTTCAAGATCGGTTCTATCCCTGGGGCTAATTCAACCACAAACTCCACTTCTCTATCAGGTGGCAATCCCGGCAATTCTTGAGGAAAAACATCAGGAAGATTACACACCTCGGCTATGTCCTCTAGCCTTGACTCCTTAACCAACGAGTTAATCACAAGATAGTTATCTTTCCACACCTCAAAGACGAGGCTTAATCCATCCAATTTCAATCTAACAGTCTCCCAAATTAAATCACCCCGGTTCTTTACAAAATCCAAATTTCCAAGCAACACTCATCCTTCCAAACCCGTCCAAGAATATCATCAGTAATCCATAAATCCTTAAATCGATCGCACCTATTCACCATAAAATTGATTATAAGTCTTACATGACCACTCAAGCGATAACTTCAAAATCATCTCCTATTGTACCCAATACCATCTCATAACGCATCTAGACTTTCAAGGCACATCATTCACTTCCTTCTCAGCCACAACATACACTTTTCCTTACGTCCTTAGCAGATTCTGATTAATTTGCGGGGCAGCTCTCGCTTAATGTCCTACCTACGGTCGCTGCGATTGCATTAGTGACCTAACCTGTCGGTTCAACAATTTCTCACTTGGTGACCTTACTGTCCACATCCACAACATGCTCCACTTCTACCTTGGCAATGGCCATTCCTATGCCTCTTTCCATGAGACCGACATGCGACGTTGGAATAGTAATTCGGCTTCCCAAAGTTCTTTCTTACTAAAGGGACAAATCTCCAATTCTCTGTCATAGACTTCTTCCCAAGTTCCAATTGTCCCTAATCGGCGCATACCACGATCCAGAAACGGCAACCTTTTCACTCATATCCATTTCACCCATCGAGCCCTCTCATACGGCTTATTGTAATCCCTTAAGACTCAAGAGTACTAACTGACTGCGGAGTTCCGATTTCAATCCATCCCAGAACCTCCTTGTCCTATCCACATGGTCCTTGACCATCCTTGGTGCGTACTTTGACAACCTTACAAACTTGACCTCGTACTGATCGACTGACATCCGATTTTAGCGAAGTCGAAGAAACTCTGTCTTTTTCTGTTCTCGCACACTCTCCGAAAAGTACTTCCCATTGAAAGCCTCGACCAAAGCACTCCAATACTTCAAAGCCTTTTTCCAACTCTTATATTCAAAGTGATGTAGCCTCAGGGTCACTTTTCCCATCGAACCTTGCAGGTTTAAATTTCAAAAATTTTCTAACCAGCTGACGCATCTATCTGACTGCATTAATTTGCCATTGACCTTGATTCCCGACATTTCCATTATGCCCATGATTCCCGTCATTTCCATTAGCGACGGCAACAGCGGCCTCAACATCAGTAGCAACAGTCGCATTTCGCTCCTCAGTCTACCTTCCCATTAAAATTCCAACTTCCTCGAGTACCCTCAAAATTCCATTCACTCTGGGATCCTCTACAACTCCAACTTGCGGACCTACACGACCTCGACCTCGACCTCTTCCTCGACTACTCATACTCACAGGGTTCACACCACCCACTTACCTACTATAATTCCCCTCGAGAATTAAAGACCTAGGCCAACTATACCAGTCCCAAGCCCTAGGCAGTGAATTACAACAATTCACTAAGCAGGCAGTCAATTACAACATCATTCGATCACAATGAACAGGGATCGTGCACTAACCTCAAGTCCTGACGCACCTGCATTTCACGTATTAGTGCATAATATCACTCAGCAATCACAACCAAGCGATCTGGGTAACGCATGGCCCACAAGTCTCCCTAACTGGCTACCCCAAAGTCATCGCTCCTTATCACTCCAGACTTCGACCATCTTGGTTCGAGCTGACCTTGCTCTGATACCAAATCAACCGGGATGTCACGCCCCGAACCCTAACGGGCTCGCGACACCCCTCGATGGTCGATCATTGAATGCGACGTCCCAGGCACGTCGCCGACCCAACCCAAACATCAAAGATTACGCACGCGCGGAAACAAATAGAAACAACCCAGACAAATAATAAGGACAAGGGTTAGCAGTAGCACGAAACAATAACTGTAATTCCTACTCTTGGCAGATACATACGACGCTCACAAAAAGACAATCCCAAGCTAGGTCACAACAACAGAACCACATTCCTCAAAAGAGACAATAGTTCACAAACTTAACTCCTCTACAAAAAGGGGAACTCAAAATACCGGGTACTTAACTAGTCCTCGATCTCCGAGATACCCTTGCAGCGTCTCCAATCACTCATGGTCGCGGATCTGAAATGGTTATATAATAACCGTGAGAACGAGTCTCAATAAGCAATCCCCTATACCCCATATAGGCCAATGCGTACCTAAACAAGTCGTACATGCAATTTACCCATAACATGTAAAATTTGTATCAATGTACTTACCTCGTCATCAAGCCCATACCAACTCTACACGTTAGTCACAACGTGATAATACAATATTAGTAATTCGATAGCATATCACAATCGCTCAAACACCAATCACACTTGCACTGAATTAACCCAATTAACTCAACCGCACATCCAACCAGCCAATTCAATCACACACTCAATCAGTCAATTCAATCACACTCAAATCGCATGCATGGCCGAACATCTTTCTCACGACCCGCGCCACTGCGCCTCAGGTCCATTCTCACTGCCCGAGCCACTGCGCCTCAGGCCCATTTGGCACACCGGCCATTCATGCTTTCACACGGACCACCGTCAACACGTCCCAAGTCCGTAGCCCTCCGATCAATCCGGGCTTAATTCTAATGACCGACGTAAACACGTCCCGGTCCAACACACTTTTAACGGGCCACCGTCAACACGTCTCAAGTCCGCATCCATTTGGCACACCGGCCATTCATGCCTTCACACGGACCGCCGTCAACACGTCCCAAGTCCGTAGCCCTCCGATCAATCCGGGCTTATAATCGACAGGCATACACACGCCATTCAATTCAATTAATTTCACGCCAATTGCACCCAACGATCCACATTCACAACTCAATTCAATTCACGGCACGCCACACCAACCCACAAACTCGACATTCAATCGGCCACATACGAACATCCAAATCATGCATATAATCTCATCCAATCCAACTAACACAATTATATAGCAATATAATTAAATTAAACCGTGCCCTACCCGTTCTAAACCCTAAACAAGTCCATAAAGTACCCAAAGTACTAGATAGGGTTTAGGAAGTCACTTACTTGGTTTTGGCCCGGAGAAAATCGGCTCGGGCCTAAAATGGCCCGGGTGAACAGTGCTGGACTAGGCACGGGCGCGGGCCAACGGGCGCGCTGGCCTGGACGGCGTGCTCGGGCGCACGGGCGCGGTGGCCGAACGGCGTGCCCGAGGCGCACGGCCGAGCGGAATGGGTGACGGCCCGGGCGACGGGCCGGCTGACAGGCAACGCGCCCGGGCGACGGGCAAGGCGCCGAGCCCGATGAGCAAGGCGCCGAGCAAGAAGGCGAGCGACTTGGTCGCGTGGGCAAAGGGCCGGCCACGGCTTGGGCAAGCCCGGGCACGGCTGGGCCGGGCTGGCCGGGGGGCTGGTTGGCCGAGGCGGCGACCGGCGGCGACGGCGACGGCAATGTCACCAAGGACATGACAGCTGCGGGCGACGAGCGGACGGAGAGGTGAAGGTCGGCCGGGCAGCGAGGTGAGGAAGAGAGGGGCTGGGGCTGAGGGAGGTGACGGCGACGAGCTTGCAATCGGCGCAGCGGCACGGCGTAGCACTGGGACGACGGCGGCGACGGCCGGCTGCCCGGGACAAAGACCGGGCGCAGACGGGCGGCCGGCAGCCGAGCGGTGGCGGGCGGCGGCGGTGAAGCTAGTTGCTTGAAACGAGGGAGGGCATCGGGAAAAGAGAAACAGGGGAGGAGGTCGCGCGGTGGCGGCGGCGGCGGACAAAGCCCGCGGGCGGCCGGGCGACGGAGGACGGGCCGACGAGCGGCTGGGCAACGCCGGACCGCGGCGGGCACGGCGGCGACTTGTTGCTGCGCGCGACAGGAAGAAGAAGAACAGCCAAGCCGAAGGAGACGGCGGCGACGCGCGGCGCTGGGCAGCGACCAGCAGTGGTCGAGCGGCAGAAGAAGAAGAAGCAGAAGCCATGGCGTCGGGGAAGAGAAGGAAGAGAAGAAGAAGAAGAAGGACAAGAGAAAAGGAAGAGAGAGAGAGGGGGGGCAAGGTCTGAGCATGCAGGGGGGAGTGGACGGGCGCAGAGGAGAGAGAGAGAGAGAGAGAGAGAGAGAGAGAGAGAGGGGCGCCAAAAGTCAAACGTCATCATCGCAATCCAACGGCCCACGATTCGAACCCACAAATGATCCAACGGTCCAAAATTAATCCTAAAATATAATAAGGGACAAAGGCCAAATTAATTAAATCACACTACCCCGAGGGAGGTCTACTAGTCCAAATCCGCACCCGGTCAAAAATCTACTTTTCACATATTCCGAGCAATATCGAGGCTGGCCACAATAATATCGACACCGTCGAATTAAATTCGTCCCAAAACTCCAAGAAATTCGACACCAAAGTTTGGGCTCTAAATAACGGCAAAATTCGATCGAGTGCGATTCTAGCGAAATCTCAATTTTAAAATAATAATAGGGAGTGATCAGTTCCCGGGCGAGATTTTTACTATAAGCACACTGACGAATTACACGTTTTATAAATCCCAACTATGGGCCGAAATTCGGGATGTCACAGCTCGTTGTAATCCTTGAGGTTCAGCTGCACCAACTGACTCCGGATGTCTGGGTTCAAACCATCTCGGAATCTTTTTGCCCTTTCCACTGGATCTTCAATAAATTTAAGGGCATACCTCGACAATTGAGCGAACCTTGCTTCGTACTGGTCCACCGTCATGTTGTTCTGCTGAAGTTGCAGGAATTCCTTCATCTTTCGGTCACGAGCACATTCGGAAAAATACTTTCCGTTGAATGCTTCAACGAAAGCATTCCAGTTGACAGCAGCATTTTCTGGGAACACGATTTCCTTGGTCGCTTTCCACCAATAGTTGGCATTACCTTGTAGTTGATAGGCTGCTAAGGTAACTTTCTCTTCCTCAGAACATCTCAAAAGCTCAAATGCCTTCTGGAGTTCATCGATCCAGGATTTCGCTTCTTCGGGATCTCCAGTTCCGATAAACTTCGGAGGTCGGAGCCTCAGGAATTGCTCAACCAATCCGTGCATCGTACAGCCACCATTTCCATTTCCATTTCCATTTGCTGCCACATTCTCAGCATTAGGCATTCGTTGTTGGGCCTGCTGTCCCAACAGTTCTCCCACGGTCGCTAGAGCCTGCAGAATTTCGTCTATTCGGGGCTCTTGATTTGACTTCCCCTTCGAGGTCGAGGTCGCAGCCGGGTCCCGAGCACTCATATTGGTATTCTAAGGGATCTTTCTACAACACCAGAATAGGTCAGTGGTCACAAACAAATATTAGCACACAACCTATTCAACCACAATCAATCATTCACATGCGCAAGGGTGTTTCCTAGCTAACTACCCCAACTTCAGCGCACCTTATCACTCCAGGTCTTTATTTTCGCTTGGATTTCAGAATCGTTCTTCCCCATTCAGTGCATAGTTCGGTTTGTTCCTCTCTTACCCATCATCCTAGAAGCCTGCCAGGAGCCGCACTTTGTTCAGGTCTTCAACCCCGGCAACCACTCTTGCTAGAAGCCGCACCTTGATCGGGTCGCATGCCTCGGCGTCCACTTCATAGCCAAGAGCCGCTCCTTGATCAGGTTCTACCTTGGCAACCACTTCCCACCCTCATCGGATTGGGTCCTTTCAGGATTCTACAGCCTCTTCTTGGCTCAACACCGAACTTACACTTACTGGAGGGGAACCTACTCTGATACCAAATTAGACTGTAACGCCCCCACCTCGGGGTCATTGACGTGACGTCCCGTTCATTGTTATCTTTCTTTACACACAAGCGGAAGCATAATTTCGGGACAATCACATTCAGAACAACAGCGGAAATTTAGACAAGTAGCATCATGAACAAACCTTATGTTTACAGTGCATGCAAACATATTTTAACAAGCCCTTCGGGCCATGGCAAACAACACATATTTCACACGCACTATGAATAGCAAAACTCGGCTTGGGTGATCATATCCCTTTTACTTCATCTTCTTGCTTCTAACTCCATCCACATCTCCTCCCCGCTTCCCGTCCGCATGGCCGATCTACACCCCACCCGTGGCATGCCCCAGAGCTGGCCTGCCTACACTGCCAAAAGGTCCATTGAACCCACATAGGGGTCCAACCCATGCTCCGTCAGTGTAGCCATGCCATGCTATATACGGGTGAGGCACCAAGTCCGTTAGGCCCTCATCGATCGTCACGTACGACGTGATTCGGCGGTAGGCTCGCCTTTCTCGGGCATTTATCACGGTGAGCACTTCGGCTCTCATTTCCACGGGGTTGCCGAACCGGGTCGGGGGAGACGTCATTCTTCGGACCTGAAAATGAAACAACGGGGGATGAGTTGGGGAGACTCAGCAAGTAAACCTACTAATATCAAGCGAGGATGAGGGGATCGCCGTTAGCACAAGTCGGCCCTTACCGCACCCGCATCGATGGCAGATCAATAGCAAAGTTCATACAAGAAAACATCAAGCATGGCTATAGCATGTGCACCTTGCCATTCAAGTCTTGGTTCTATCTCCAAAACAAACGTCAAACACGAAACGTGATTAAGTCGAGAAATGAACCAACTACAACCAACCAAACGACCGAGAAACGGTCCAAGCAAACCGTGTCACAACTTCCTTTCCCGATATTAGGAAGTTTACTTACACAACGACTAACAAAACTAGAGAACGAGTTAGAGACGGGTGAGCTCGGGTGATCTTCGGGCTTTCTCCTTGCTTGGCTGACTAATACGAGGCACACAAAGGCCAAACCGTGGGCTCTTGGGTAGAAACGAGGAGAAACACGGGCTGGTTCGGGACTTCTAGGGCATGAGGCTTCTCGGGCCAAAACGTGACAAAATCAAGAAACAAAAGGGAGAGGAAGATGGTGGATGGTGTTGGCGTGAGAATGGCGTGAGAATGAAGAGAGAGAGATGGCCATGTGTGTGAAAAAGGGGGGGAGGGGCTTCTCCTATTTATAAGGCTCCAAACTTGCTCCTCACTCAAGACCATTAATATTAGTCATGATGATGGTGCCTCAAAGTCCAAGCTAATTAATGATATTCATGATGATGGGGGCCTCAAAGTCCAATTTGCATTAAGGCTTGTCATGATGAGAGTGACCTAGAAAAATCTAACCACAATTGGCTTCTAGATCTCTCTCTCTCTCTCTCTCTCTCTCTCTCTCTCTCTCTCTCTCTCTCTCTCTCTCTCTCGGTTAATCGCTTGAGTGGGCTCTCTCTCTCGGCTACCATTTTCCTTGGCCGACTCTCCTCTTGGTTCTAGCAATAACTGGTGTCCGAGGCATTAAATGCAAGGGACAACTCAGCTTATCTTCATTAATGGCATGTCATCATGATAGGGCCTCCAAAGTCTAAAGTCATTAATGCATGTCATGATGAAAGGGGTCCCTAAAGTCTTATGACCAATAATGGAGGCTTCTTGAGGAAGATTTGACTAGGTCAAAGCTTATCTTCTAGTTTCTTCCCACTTAAACAAACGTAGAGCCTATTTTGGCCTTCTAGAAATGTCGGTTCGGCTCACAATAACTCAGCACCATTGGGTTACACAATAACAACTAATCGACATTTAAGTCGCAAACCCGCATCATAATCAATTCCATGATTTCCTAGGGTTTTCCACGACAAAACGTGTATAATAATCTCGTTCAACCCGAGGTTCGGTGTGGGAATGTCCTCAAATATCACCAAAAGCCATCAAGTCGAGATTCCAACGTTCTCATATAGAAATTGATAAATCTTTGAAATCTGACAAAACCGGATAGCTTTGCACTGTTTATGAAATCGGACTTGAAAATATAGTAAATGGACTCCAAAAATTCTCAAATTTGAATATGTCATAAACAAGGCCTTAAAAAATATTTCTCATGAAGAACACAAAATCGGAATCTTTCTGTAAACACCATTTTTAGTAGCTCAAAGACAGACTAAAAACAGTTCACTGGAACAGAATTCTTGTTTCTCAAAGTAAGCTCTGTCCAGAATCCAAATCATCTCAAAAAATTCCCAAATTTATATAAATCATAGAAAAGGAAGTTCTCAACAACTTTTGTGAAGGAAACTTTTCCAAAATCGGCCTAGAAAAGCTTGTAGAAAATAAATAAAGGGTGAACATCACCAAAATACCCTTTCTGGGCAGTTTTACACGGTCCGGAAATGAGGCTGTTGTACTACTCATATCAAGTCCAAAAATTCTGAAATTAAATTATGTAAAACTTCAAGATGTTTGCAGAAACTTTCAAGAAGAAAGTGTTTGGAAATTCGGATCACAAAAGTCTCCACAAAAATAACAAAACGAAGGGGTACAAAGGATCCGAAACTGGGTTTTCCAGAACAAGAGTAAAAATTGGTTCCAATTGAAAAACTACCAAACTTAAACCATAGCCATTTCCTAGGGACTGAAATTGAGGATGTTACAATACATGAGCCGTTGCGCGTGTTTGGCTATAGACCGATCCCTCGCTCGTGTGACCAGGCGTGATGCTCGGCACGTCGCCCGTGCGGCCGGCATGGTGCTCGGCACGTTGCACGTGCAGCTGGCAAGGCGCTTGGCATGTCACCCGTACAGCTCGACACAGCGCCTGTGCGGCCCGGCCATGTGTCCGTGTGGCTCGATAGTGCGCCTGGCCACGCGCCCAGTCAGGCTTGGCCATGCGCCCAGCAACCCAGTTTGCTTGGGCCTTGGTTTGGTTGTGTTAGATGGTTTTTGAGGATCTTCTCGCACCGAACCTCGGGTTGAATGGGTCTATCAAGCATGACAACCCTCAGAAATTTGGAGAATAGTATGATGCGAGGTTGCGATTATAGTGTTGTTTAGCCAGTTTCGTGTAAACCGATTGGCCCGGGAAGTTTTTGTGTGAATCCAGCAACTTAAGAGGCTCCCACGGTTCAGATTTGCTGAGTAAAAGAAGACAAAAAAAATTATTGACTTGGTCAAAGGTTCATTCAAGGCCATTTAATGCCATTTATAGTCTTCATTATTGGACCCTCATGAGGTGTCCCCTTCTATTATTGCTGCCAAGCTGAGGTGTGCCATGCATTTAAGGCTCTTTGATGATTCAATGATCACCAATAATGGAGCACAAGGCAAGGCCATTCGGCCAAGCCAAAGGGGAGCCGAGAGAGAGAGAGAGAGAGAGAGAGAGAGAGAGAAGCCAAGAATAAGATCAACTTTAATGCCCTTAATGACCATGCATCATGATCTTTGTCTCTTGTGCATGAATGCACATTAATGTTTGGCTTCTTTGCCAAGCTTGTGCCTTTATAAGAAGCAAGAAGCCTTCTCACGTGAGCCTTCCCAAAAAGCCAGCCATCATCTTCTATTTTGCCTTCTTGTCTACCTCATCCACGCCCAAAGAAGCCCAAGCCAACCTTGTTCTACCTCTTTGCTTGATCGGCCAACGAGAAAATCACACCCGAGACTCGCCCGAGGCCCCGTTTTTCCCGAAATCGAGCTTGTTCCGTGCTCAAGCCAAGCCACCAGCCACTTCTTCTTCTAGTCTTTCGTGTTCTAGTGGTTTGTTGAGTAAATGAATTTCCTAATATCGGGAAAGGAAGTTGCGATACGTTATAACATGGGTTGCTTGGTCTGTTTCTGGGTTTTGTGGTCGATTATAGCTTGTTCTTTCTTGACAAGTGATGCTCACGTGTGACGCTCATGTTTGATGTTTGTTTTGTTGGTTTCGTAGCATGAACTCGATACCGGTACGGTAAGAGTTAATTTATGTGAATGGTGATTGTCTCGTCCTTGGTTGATATTAGAGTTTTTACTTATTGGGTCTCCCCGACTCACTCTCGTTGTTTTTTTTTCCTCTTTTCTAGTCTGTGATATGGCATCTCCTCCAACCCGGTTCGAAAACCCTGTGGAAATGCGAGCCGAACTCCTCACTGTAATCGACGCCCGGGAGGGTCGTAAGTACCGTCTTATCACAACATATGTGATGGTCGACGAAGGCCGTGAAGAGTTAGTCCCTCACCCGTATGAGGCGTGGTACCGCCTAGCACACGGAGAATGGGTTGGACCCCTTCGTGGGTTCAACTAGCCATCGGCGGACCGGGCGGGGTGGCTCCGGGGCAAACCGGGGGTGGAGCGTGAGATGGCCAGGCGGACGAGAAGCGGGAGGGGCGAGATGAACGAGAAGTCGTAGTGAAGCTAGGAACCCAAGCCAAGATTTTGTTTGTCAATATTTGGCTTTTGCGGCATCGCCCTCGAAATGGGCATGTAAAATATAAGTGTGGCTTGTAAGGGCCCGAGAGAGAAGGGCTCGATGAAATAAGCACGTATCATGTAAATACAACGTGTGATATTTGCTTATCACTCGTGTCATCTCGTTTATGTTTAATTGCTTCTGCATGCGCATTTGATTATTTAAAATGAACGGGACGCACTAATACATTTTCGCGAGTCAGGGGTCCGTTCGGGTCATGTTCGGTCATTAAGCATCGATCATGATTTCGAGTCGGGACGTGACAATGTGGGGTATCTTTGTTTTGGTATCAGAGCAGGTTTTGCCTCCAGTAGGTGCAATTCGTGGCAACTTGCGATTGGACGATCCGACGAGGGCGGGGAATGGCGCCGAGGCCATACGACCTGAACATTGAGCGGCCTCTTAGGAGGTGGCGCCAGGGTCATGAATGCTTGAACATTGTGCGACCTCTACGGAGGTGGCGCCGGGGCAATAATACTTGATCATTGTGTGGCTTCTAACCGAGGTGGCGCCGGGGCAGGTAGCCTGATCATTGTGCGGCCTCTGGGAAGAAGTGGCACGGGGTATATATATACCACCTGATCATTGAGCGGCTTCTGAAAAGAAGTGGCGCCGGAGTAAAGGGCCTGATCATTGAGCGGCTCCTTGCAGGCTTCTAGGACAGCTAAAGAACGAGAATTATCGAACTGTGCACCGAATTGTGGAAACCGGTTCTGAAAACCAAGCGAAAATGAAGGCCTGGAGTGATAAGGTGCGCTGAAGTTGGGGTAGTTAGCCAGGAAACGGCCCGCGCATGTGATTGTGTGTCTGTGTACCAGATTGGTTGGTAAGTAGGCTTTTGGTTGCTAAGCTTTTGATCGCTGACATATTCTTGCGTTGTGGAAAGCCTTAGTAGACTACCAACTGCAGTATGAGTGCTCAGGACCCGGCCACGACCTCGAAAGGAAAGTCGAAGCAAGATCCTCGAATAGACTGAATCCTGTAGGCTCTTGCAACCATAGGAGATTTGCTGGGACAACAAGTGCAGCAACAAGTTCAGCAACGGCTGCCTAATGCTGAGAATGCAGTGGCAAATGGAAATGGGAATGGTGACCGAACAATGCATGGATTGGTCAAGTAAATCCTGAAGCTGTGACCCCCGAAATTTGCTGGAACGGGAGATCCCGAAGAGGCGGAATCCTAGATAGATGAGTTAAAGACAGCGTTTGAACTTTTGAGATGTTCCGAGGAAGAGAAAGTGACCTTGGCGACATACCAATTATAGGGTAATGCCAATCACTGGTGGAAAGCAACCAAGGAAATCGTGTTCCCAGGAAATATGGCTATCAACTGGAATGCCTTCGTCGAGGCATTTAACGGAAAGTATTTTTCCGAGTGTGCTTGTGATAGAAAGGTCAAGGAATTCTTGCAACTCCAGCAGAACAACTTGACGGTGGACCAGTATGAGGTAAAGTTCGCTCAATTGTCAAGGTACGCCCCTAGACTTATTGAAAATCCAGTCGACAGGGCAAAGCGATTCCGTGATGGTCTTAAACCTGATATCTGGAGTCAGCTGGTACCGTTGAACCTGAAAGATTATAATGAATTATATGAACGAGCTCAACTGATCGAGAAGGATTTGCTGGAAAGGGTGGCTCTGGCAAAGCCCCCTTATTTTGCTCCTCGGGTAAACCAGCGCTCGGGCAAGAGATCTTTCGTAAAAGGAAAGCGTCCCTTCGTCCCCAACAAAAAGCAAAGTTTCCCAAAGATGACTACTGTTTCTGGTAACACCTGTTCTATTTGCGAAAGACAACATGGAGATACTCCGTGCCTAATGCGCAAGGGAGCATGCTTTGGGTGTGGCCAACAAGGTCATATGGTCAGGGACTGTCCGCAACGGCGACAAGGAATGCCTTCACAACAAAGGCAGGCAACGGCATCAACTGGAGCTCAGCTTCATGCTAATAATGGCGATCGTCCTCCGGCACAAGGACGAATATATGCACTTACTCAAGAGGATGCGGAGAATTCCGACGCAGTGATTACATGTACGGTTTTCCTCAATAACCGTGTTGCATATGCGTTATTTGACACTGGAGCTACACATTCATTCGTATCTAGACAATTTGTACGTCTGGCCAAAATTGAAATGAAACCATTAGAAAATGCACTTAGTGTTTCCACTCCGATGAAAAATGATGTGCAGACTACCCTAGGATGTCAAGGGTGTACGATAATTATAGGTGGACTGGCAGATATTATAAATCTAGCGGTATTGACCATGTATGATTTTGATGTTATCATTGATATGGATTGGCTTAGTAAACAGCGAGCCAATATATACTGTTATAACAAGGTGATTCAGTTTCATCCACCTGATCGTCCCTGCTATACATTTGTGGGAAATGGAGGAGGACCTTCTACTCCTCTGATTTCTGCTTTAGAAGCAACTCGACTGTTGCAGAAAGATTGTCAAGGATTTCTAGCAACAATAGAAAATATAGCGAAGGAAGACGAACCAAAGTTGGAAGATATCCTTGTGGTACAAGAATTTCCGGATGTTTTTCCAAAAGAATTACCAGGTCTACCTCCGGAATAGGAAGTAGAATTTGCTATTAAAGTAGTTCCTGGAACGAAGCCTATTTCCAAAGCTCCCTACAGGATGGCTTTGACCGAGTTGAAAGAACTCAAAGTGCAATTGCAAGAGTTACTTGATAAGGGTTTCATCCGTCCAAGTGCATCTCCCTAGGGTGCACCCATATTGTTTGTGAAGAAGAAAGACGGATCGTTGCGACTCTATATTGACTATCGACAGTTAAATAGGGTTACTATAAAAAATAAGTACCCACTGTCGAGAATCAATGATTTATTTGATCAACTCCAAGGAGCATCCGTGTTTTCCAAGATCGACTTAAGGTCGGGATATCATCAGCTGAGGATAAAGAAAGAAGATATTCCGAAGACGGCATTCCGAACCCGCTATGGCCATTGTGAATTCATCATTATGCTATTCGACTTGACGAATGCTCCAGCTGCTTTTATGGACCTGATGAATTGAGTGTTCAACCCATACTTGGATCGTTTCGTCATAGTCTTTATTGACGACATTCTAGTATACTCGAAGAATTCGACTGAACATGAATGGAATCTGAGATTCGTGCTTCAGACTCTCAGGGAACACGCACTTTATGCAAAATTCAGCAAGTGCAAGTTCTGGCTATCTCGCGTGGTATTTCTCGGCCACGTGATCTCGGAGGATGGCATATCAGTGGATCCATCCAAAATAGAAGCGGTAATTAACTGGCCAAGACCAACGACCGTCACAGAAGTTCGAAGTTTCTTGGGTTTGGCAGGATACTACAGAAGGTTTGTGGAACGATTCTCTAGCATCGCTATCCCTTTAACGCGATTGCTAAAGAAATAAACGAAGTTCAATTAGACTGATACGTGTGAGCGAAGCTTTCAAGAATTGAAACGAAGACTGACGACTGCTCCTATTCTAACTATACCTAAAGGACCAGGAGGATTTGAAATATACAGCGATGCCTCGCATAAAGGGCTAGCCTATGTATTGATGCAAGATGGCAAAGTAGTGGCTTATGCCTCGAGACAATTAAGGCCATACGAATTGAATTATCCAACTCATGGTTTAGAGCTTGCTGCAATCGTGTTTGCCTTAAAAATATGGCGACACTACTTATATGGGGAGCAATTTGTCATCTATACGGATCATCAAAGTTTGAAATATCTATTTTCCTAGAAGGAGTTGAATATGAGGCAAAGACGCTAGATGGAACTTCTCAAAGACTACGACTGCGAGATATTGTACCATCCTGGCAAAGCAAACAAAGTTGCCGATGTGCTTAGTTGAAAATCTGCGATTGCAGATCTAATGGTCAAGGAATGGATCCTACTTGAGGAAGCGCGAGACTTGGACTTCAAACTTGAAGTTGGACATCATCAGAACTTACTGGCTGCTCTCCGAATTGAGCCGGACATCATATTGAAAGTCAAGGCATTACAACAAACAGACCCGGAGATTCAGAAAATCCGAAAAGAGTTAGCAGAAAAGAAGAAATCCAATTTTCATGTAACTGACGATGGAATCTTGAAGTTTAATGGATGTCTATGCGTGCCAAAGGATGAACAACTCAAGGAAGAAATCTTGACAGAAGCTCACAAGAGCAATTATAGTATTCATCCAGGCAGTACCAAAATGTACCAGAATTTGCGACAACATTTCTTGTGGAATGGCATGAAGATGGACATAACCAAACATGTGGCTAAATGCTTGACGTGTCAACAAATCAAGACTCAACATTGCAAGCCTGGCGGATTGTTGCAACCGTTGGAAATTTCTAAATGGAAGTGGGAACACATCACGGTGGACTTCATCATGGGATTGCCGAGAAGTCAAAGAGGACATGATTTCATATGGGTAATTGTTGATCGACTGACAAAATCAGCTCATTTTCTTCCGGTAAGAAAGGACCTTCCATTGGAAGGTTATGCCAAGTTATATGCTCGTCAGATTGTGCGACTACACGGAGTTCCGGTAACGATCACATCCAATCGAGATCCGAAGTTTAATGCAACTTTCTAGCGGAGTCTTCAAACCGCTATGGGAACAAAGTTGCAATACAGTATAGCTTATCATCCGCAAACAGATGACCAAACAGAAAGAACTATCCAGACCCTTAAGGATATGTTGGGAGCATGCGTCGTAGATTTCAAACGGAGTTGGGATGAATATTTACATCTTATAGAATTTGCATACAACAACATTTACCAGCAAATTATCGAAATGGCGCCATTCGAGGTATTATACAGTCGAGCTTGCAGAACTCCAGTCCGTTGGGATGAGGTCGGGGAAAAGAAGGTCACGGGTCCAGAGCTAGTCCAACTTACCAACGAGGTTGGACAAGTGATTAGAGATAAGTTGAGAACTGCCCAAAGCCGACAGAAGAGTTATGCTGACAGAGGTAGGAAGCCTCTAGAGTTTCAAGTAGGCGACCACGTGTTTCTTAAAGTGTCACCCATGAGAGGTGTGTCGCGTTTTGGGACGAAAGGTAAGCTAAGCCCCTGGAACGTAGGACCTTTTGAATGTAGAAAGAATAGGGAATTTGGCTTATCGGTTGGCGTTGCCACCGAAACTTGCTCAGGTGCATGACGTGTTTCATGTATCCATGTTGAGAAAGTATGAGCCCGATCCGGCACATGTGCTGAATTTCAACGAGGTCGAATTGGACAGTAGAGTGTCCTATGTTGAAGAGCCTGTGCGGATCGTGGATCGTAAAGAACAAGTGTTGAGAAATACAACTATTACCATAGTAAAGGTCCTATGGTGACACCATGGCATAGAGGAAGCTACCTGAGAAGGTGAGGAAATCATGAAGCGGCAGTATCCGCATTTATTCGAGGAACCAGGTACGTGTTTAAATTTCGAGGACGAAATTTTATTAGAGAGGGAGAATTGTGACATCCCCGATTTTGGACCTAGGAAGCCGAGGGCTAGTAATAAATTGATGAGCGAGTAATTTGAGCCGAGGGTCAGTAATGGAATGGACAATATAAATGGAACGAGTGTACTGAGGGTTGGTCATGGTTCGATTGAAAGATTGCCCATGAATTGGCCTAGGGATTGACAGTAGAATGACTCCTTGACTACGCAAATGATTAGGGTAATATGACCGTAGAGTGACCCTTCGACCATAAGGGCCGCTAGTGGAACGGTCCGGGATAGCTGTGGATCAATCCGGTGTCGGCATGTGTCGGTTGCGGGTAATACTGCACGGCCATGCATCGGTCACGGATGACCATGAGTTAATTCCGGGGTACTGGGTTTCACGAGGTTACATGACAACCGAGGGTCGACCATGGGTCGTTGATACTCGAACGTGGACTGATCGCGAATCGGCCACGAATCATTGCGCCAAGTCAAGTAGGTCATGGACGAGCCATGTGCCAAGCCATGAGCCCAAGAGCTTGGCCGCGGACTAGGCCATATGCCAACCGCGCCGGCCAGGCCGTGTGCCCGGACGTGACCGGCCATCATGCCCGTTAGTTAGGCCACGGACTAGCTACGTGCCCGGTCGTGTGCCGACCATTGTGCCTGACCCTTGTGCCGGGCGTTGTACCCATAAGATCCGGTTCCAATCCCGTCCTGTGGCCAAGAAATATGGCCATGAGCCGTGCATTGTGCCATACATGAGCCGTTGCGCGTGTTTGGCCATAGACCGATCCCTCGCTCGTGTGACCAGGCGTGATGCTCGGCACGTCGCCCGTGCAGCTGGCATGGTGCTCGGCACATTGCACGTGCAGCCGGCAAGGCGCTCGGCACGTTGCTCGTGCAGCCCGGCGCAGCGCCCGTGCGACCCGGCCATGTGCCCGTGTGGCCCGGTACTGCGCCCAGCCATGCGCCCAGCAACCCGGTTTGCTTGGGCTTGTTCCATTTTGCTTGGGCCTTGGTTTGGTTGTGTTAAATGGTTTTTGAGGATGTTCTCACACTGAACCTCGGGTTGAACGGGTTTACCAAGCGTGGACAACCCTCGGAAATTTGGAGAATAGTATGATGCGGGGTTGCGATTATAGTATCGTTTAGCCGGTTTCATGTAAATCGATTGGCCCGAGAAGTTTTTGTGTGAAATTAGTAACTTAAGAGGCTCCCACGGTTCAGATTTGCTGAGGAAAAGATGACAAAAAATTGTTGACTTGGTCAAAGGTTCATTCAAGGCCATTTAATGCCATTTATAGTATTCATTATTGGACTCTCATGAGGTGTCCCCTTCTATTATTGCTGCCAAATTGAGGTGTGCCATGCATTTAAGGCTCTTTGATGATTCAATGGCCACCAATAATGGAGCACAAGGCAAGGCCATTCGGCCAAGCCAAAGGGGAGCCGAGAGAGAGGCCATTCGGCCGAGAGAGAGAGAGAGAGAAGCCAAGGATAAGATCAACTTTAATGCCTTTAATGACCATGCATCATGACCTTTGTCTCTTGTGCATGAATGCACATTAATGTTTGGCTTCTTTGCCAAACTTGTGCCTTTATAAGAAGCAAGAAGCCTTCTCACGTGAGCCTCCCCAAAAAGCTAGCCATCATCTTCTATTTTGCCTTCTTGTCTACCTCATCCATGCCTAAAGAAGCCCAAGCCAACCTTGTTCTACCTCTTTGCTTGATCGGCCAACAAGAAAATCACACCTGAGACTCGCCCGAGGCCCCATTTTTCCCGAAATCGAGCTTGTTCCGTGCTCAAGCCAAGCCACCAGCCACTTCTTCTTCTAGTCTTTCGTGTTCTAGTGGTTTGTTAGATAAGTGAATTCCCTAATATCGGAAAAGGAAGTTGCGATACGTTGTAACATGGGTTGCTTGGCCCGTTTCTGGGTTTCATGGTCGATTATAGCTTGTTCTTTCTTGACAAGTGATGCACACGTGTGACGCTCATGTTTGATGTTTGTTTTGTTGGTTTCGTGGCATGAACTTTGCTATTTATTTGCCATTGATACCGGTACGGTAAGAGTTAATTTATGTGAACGGCGATTGTCTCGTCCTCGATTGATATTAGAGTTTTCACTTATTAAGTCTCCCCGACTCACTCT